CGCCAACGAACTTTCATCAGGCAATTTTGTGCAGATGTGTCATGGATTTTGATCATCATTGCCCGTGGCTTCATCAGTGCATCACAGTTCGCAACCTTCGTATGTTCCTTGTATTTGTTGCATGTGTGGCTATTTCTGCGGGATTGTTTTCTTATGCATGTGGCCATCTTATATATATCAGAATACTCAGAAACAATCCAGGTATGGTAGTTATCCTGATGCATCATAAAAAGACCTGCCTATAGTACATTTCCCATTCACGCACATTTTACAGGTGATACACCTTACAAAGTATTCGCAGTTGCTGATGAAATATTCAAGTCGAGCGGATGGCTTTTGTTTAGTCTTACTTTAGCTTTCTTCCATACCATCATGCTAACAGCACTATTCGTTAATCAATGTGTGCAGGTTGGAAACTATTTAGCTTGCAATTTACAACGCGCAGGTTTCTGGCTCTTTTTTTGAGATCTCCGAAAATCTAAGCACAATGGATCGCATTCGTCATAGCCGTGGACATCACTATACTCCCGTAAATCCAGAGTCGACCGACAGTCTTGCTGAGCCGGCCATTACATTTTCCGCTCGTCTTCGAAACATAGTCGATTTTTGTATTAGTTCCTTTTGATGTCCTTTAGTGTTCTCAAGTTTTCTATGACGCGTTTTCATGGCCGTAAACAGAATTTTTTTAGAGCTTCGACGACTTTTTCGACCATATTCAAAATCTCTTTCTCATTCTTTTTGAGTACTTAAACTTTTGAAATTGAAGACTTGAAAACTAGTCGTACTCAAACTAAACGGAATCGTATCTCCTAAACTACGCCTTGACCTACTTTCTTTGCTTCCTTTGCTGTTCCTCATATCTTAGCCTTTTTTCCCAAATACTAGCTCTTCTTCGTTTCTCTAGAGGACTGGTGCTAAAATAGCAAACATAGCTTTGAATTAAGGGTTTTTAAAGTTAGTAATGATTAGAAAGTTAACTGTACTAAATCGTTATGTAATAAGCAATGTCTCAATCAGATCATTAAGCTCCACTGAGCAATCCATCCGTAGATGGGTCGGGTGAGGAGCCCATGCTATTTTTTAAAGCTAAGATAGGGTCATATCAATTTCTCTAAGGAGGTGCTTGTTGCAAGTCCCATTTTTCTTTGCACTTG